TGGTAAAATGTCATTTTCGATGTATTGCAAAGCACATGTGTATGGTGAAAATGAGAGCAACTCACAATTATTCAGCAGCCCAACATCCAAATCATCCGAGTAATTGAACATTTATTTTTGTGGAGCAAAAAAGAGAGAGAGAGAGAGAGAAATTTAGAGCATTGTATATGCGTGACAATAGCCAGTGTATATGTCAGTGTTGATTTGCATTATTGAGAAGCGTACCCGTAAATTATTTGTTTGCCTTAATCGATTTGGTCGACAGTGGTAACATTTTAACCATTTTTCTCTATTGAATTTGTTGTATGCTATTTTATTTTGTTTCGGACATTTTGAAATCTCTATTTGATATCCATATATCCAAATACGGTGCATATTAGCCAGAACATCTAAATTAAGTAAATTCCAATTCGATTTATGTTTTGTTTTAAATTATATTCCTTATATTCCATCACCACCTTCAAAAAAAATTAACAACAAAAAAAACACAAGGAAATTATCTATATTTGTGTTGACAAGCGAGTGTAAGAGCGTCAAAGTGTGTAAATTGTTTGTCTGTGTGCGCTCCTCAAGCTCAAAATCGCTTAAGTTGTTTTTGTATTGCACAGAGGAAAGCAATCTATCTGATGATATGAAATGGGTGGAAAAAGAAGGCCGATTCTACATATATATATCTGTTTTTATATTCTTTTTTTTATTATTATTATTTTCTTCACAAAATGTGTGCTCCATTTAAGCGTGTTCTTTTGTTTAGTCTTATTATCTAATCATATTCGGTTAGCTGTGTACACTGTGCGGCCTGTGTTTGTGAGCGCATTGATGAAATGCATGTTCTCACCGCAATAATGGATTCATTTGGAAATGGTTTATTGCCGCTCTGTTATGCATGCAGTTCACACAAAAAAATAATGCTTTTTTAATCTCTTTTCGTTCATCATCGACAACAACAACATGAAGTGAAAAATGACGGTGGCTACGACGAATCTTTCGCATCGTAATATTACAATTGCTGATTAGTCGAATCGTTGGTGTAAAGCAAATGCCAAAATGACGAAGATATGCCAACCAGATGAATTGAAGAAACTCTCAGCACTGAATTTTGTTCCACACACGTATAACGTTCATTTGGTGCATTTTAACACGGACGGAATTTTCAAACTTAATGCATCGAACGAACGGCACAAAACAAAAATAGCAGCAACCACGTTTAGAGCACATGAATATTTTTTGCATTACCACATGCACAATATTTTTGACGTGAAATATAAAGAAAATAAAAAGAGATATATCAGGCATTGTTGCTTCTTCATTTTATCACTCTTTTTTTGCCACCGTAGCATTATTCAGTTGATGCTCATTTAAGCCATAAGAATATGCGCTTGTTTACTTTATCATTCATGTGCACCATGCTACAAAATCCACACACACACCGCCATCATACCGCTGCGCGCGCGCAATACGCTTGAAAGTGTTTTGTGAACCGAAGAATAATAACGGCATCACATGTTCTCTCTTTGGGCTATGTCTACCACACTTTTCTGTGCAAAACCTTAAATGGGCATACAGAATTTTTCCATCATCGTCATCGACATTGTTTTCAATTCAACAGCACTGGAATTCTGTTTCTTCCCTTTTTCAGCCGGGCACAATCCAAAAGTGCACGGATTAGTCGAAAAAAGAGCCTGTCTCTTTTTTTTTGTTGTTGTTCGATTGAGAAAAGAAAAGAGAGATTGAATTCGACGATTGACACAACCACACAAAATGTTAATCGGTTTATCCGGTTTGTCTAGCTGCCATCATCACCAAATCTCTTTCACTTTATTTCTCTCTGGTGCGTTCCATCCGTGTGTGTATAGATATAATATTTATGCATTTTTATAATCCATTAAAATGATTGATTCAATGTAGTCGACCGTTCCACTGGCTATTGAGCATTTGCATTTTAAAACCATTATTCGTCTCAATCAAGTTCATTCACACACACAAAGCACAAATTAATTTTATAGCTTTGACCACAAATTCCAATTTTCTCTCTCTTTCTCCTTCTCTCGATTCGTCATTTCTTTTTCTAGGAGACATTATTTTCTTGTTCATAAAATTGCGAATGGTGTTGCAAAGGAATTTCTCACCTCTGGAGGAGAGTTGGTTCTGTTTTGGTTTTCGACACAAACATTGTCGCAAGCTATAAATAGTTTGAATTGCATTTCACTTATTAAGCTCACCAACTCATCGTTTTTGGCCGATTGCTGTCGTTTATCAAAATAAAAGGCCTCAAAGATTTCAAAGATATCAAGCTTTGACCGTTTGTTTATAGGCCGACAAATTGCATAAATGATGAATATGACCGATCCCGATATGATTCAAATCTGTCATTTATAATCTTCAAATAAAAAAAAACGACATTTGTTTGAATATTGTCGGATTTCTAGCTTCGATCAAAGAAAATACCTTAAGTCATAATGACTAAAACAGTTCTTTTCGTATTTCAATCCATTCATCAAATCACTTTGACACGTAAATACGGCCGTTCGACTTCTTTCACCTTATTTACATTATTTACGATGGCTCAGTTACATATCACTGAAACTCGTTAAATTTATCAATCGGATCAAAGCAACAAAAGTTAGATAAATATTTGCATATATTTATTTTTCTGTTGACAAGATTAAAATTCTTTTAAAGTGATTTTTCATATTTTGTTAAAAATTGTTTAACAAATCTGCGTGGTGAGCTGCTATCATTGTACGAAACTAAATTTTAGGCTGTTGTATATTTGAATGCCGCCTTGAAATAACGGTGGCTGTCCAAGTGATTGTGAAAATAAATAAAAGAAACAAAAAGAATCACCAAATTGAATTCAAGGCATACATAGCGAAAAAAAAATGTCAATGAATACGCGAAAAAAGTAGCAAATATCAAAAACAAAGATATATCGCATCCGAATATAGTACAGATTCACTTCTTTAAACGAAAAGTGGCGCGATGAACGAAAAAAGCCCACGACATTTACTTCGTTTACAATTCAGTCGCGCAGAACACCAAATCAACATTGATCGAAATCGAATCAAAGTAATAATGATTTTGATCGATTAATAAATAGATTTGAGTTTGGATTTCGATTGTTTCTTTGATGTTTTATTGCACTCGGGCACTTAATTCCCGAATGTCATCAGATACATAAATTTATCTGAGGCGAGAGTTGAATGGAAGATGAATTTGTTGTTCTTGATTTTCATATTCGGGCACTTTGTTTCGATGTTGTCAGATGCGTGAAACTTCACGCAAAAAGCATGCGAACAGATTCAGATAATCGCGCGGTCAAACAGAGTGCTCACCAAAACACCGAACGTCTTTCATATGTGCGTAGTTGAGATATTGTTTCGGCGTGAAAAGTGTAGGTTGAAATATGATGTCATGAATATTTATACCATGTGGTTTCATTCATTTCATTCAACAATATATTTTGAACAAACTTTTAAAAACAATAGCGCCAAACCAAATCACTATCCAATTTATCCGGTGGAGGAGGAATTATTTTTCTGCCATTTAGTTTCTTTTACTTCTGTTTCTTCTTCTTCTTCTTCCGATCACAGTTACTTCCGTAATTCGATAAATCGATCAAATCACACAGATTTTTGTTCGGTCAATTTTCTTCGGCTCTTTTTTCTCGAAAATGTGAGAAAACGTCATTTTATTGTGTTGTGAAATGGACAATAAAACGACAGGTATTTTTGAAAATCATTCACTTCCCAAATCGATGTAATGGTTTTTTAATGCCATTGATTGTATAATGAATTTCATGGAAACACCATTGCGCGCATCAAATAACCATGTAATGAGCATGCGGTGTGCTGGCAAGAGGTAGATCACCGTACTAAAAATTATATGGGATATTGTGGGTTGATAACAACCGTTTACAGGTACTTAAGTGTATGCTGTCATTGCACTTTAATTGAACCGGCTGGATTTAAATCGATTCCGTTGCCGTAGCAGTGTGTGGCAGCACTGCAATAAAATCAGCGCGCAAAAACACTGCTTGAATAATCGATTTCGATTTTTTTTTAAATTAATACAATTGGAAATGGCCATTTTCAATATGGTCACGGTTTTATGTTTCAAGCATTTCGTAATCAAGCGTTCATGTGCCCCTTTTTTAGTGTGTATTTCATCTTTGGACATTTCATTTTTGTCAATATTTCATTTCGATTTTTTTTCCGGTTATGTATGGTTTTGAATGTATGAGATACACGATTTTATGATCGGAAGCTTAACAATTGTTGATTTTTAACGATGGTTGACAAAAACTGAATTGGTTTTTATTGTCTTACAAAACCATCGAACTTTGGAGGAAATGAAATTGACAAAAAGCATTAATCAATGAAGAGCTCAAAGCCAAACGATTCTTTGATTACGAAACATTCAAAATTCTTTCCGAAAAACTTTTGGATACTTTTGGAATGTTTGGTTTAGTTTTTCATCGGAATTTTAAAAGAATCGATTCAAAGACAATATGGTTTCGGTTGTAAAATCTGTTGTTTTGATCGTGGGTGTTGTACGATGCGTCGATACAGGCATTAAGTCGCATTAAGGTTCATGTGGCTCTTCGATCCGATTCAAAATACACAGATTAGAATCCATTTATTTGTTTAGTCAGTTTTTAAATCGTATTTTAAATGTTCGTAGAAACTATTCCGTCACGACACACAACACATTGTATTGTTCCGATTGTCGCCATTGAATGTCATGTACATCGACAATATAGCTCACAGACAGTTGCGACAAACGTGAGTGTATTGCAACAATAAATTGACCTCAGACGAAGTGTATTTGAAATTCGATATGCAGTACGATATTATTATTATTATTATTATTTTTTTTGGACAATTCACTAAAATATAGATTGTATAGTTTACTAAGCCCATGGCCTTCATTGTTTTGTTCAATTGTGTATTAATTATGTAAAAATATTTCTTATTTTTTCTACAACTGTTTCTCTATAGCAAGGTTTAGATCATCGGTTAACGACACAACAAGTTCCAATTTCATAACCAAACGAATCCGAGAGAGAAAAATAACAACAAAGAAAATGTACTTGTAAATGCGATCATTAAGAAAGACAAAGGCAGTGTTTGTGCATCTGGATAAGAATAAGTTTCAATTCGGAAGCGACACGGGAACAAATATGTGCACGTTTTAATGAAACAAATGGCGTGATAAAATTGTAAATAAAAAAAATAGCAACCAACAACATCGAATAAAAAATAAAAAGAATTCTTATAAAATTAGTGGCAACAGCAGTGTAGTTTGTGTAGAAAAATTTAAATTGAAAAAGTAAGAAATTTGATGCAAAAGATGATGTATCGACCAAATTTTTATGAATCCACTTGTTTGCGATGCAATGAAATTGTCTATCAAGTGGATCGCGTTGGCCCACTCAAAGATTTTACCTTTTTCCATTCGGGATGCTTTAAATGCGTTAGCTGTGGCACCAAATTAACACTTAAAACATATTACAATAATCAACACAAACAGGAAGATAAAGAGGTAAGCCATTTACAAATTTTAGTTTTATCGAAGAATATTCGATTTTGAGCTCAAAACTATTTTGATATTTCACAAAAAAGTTTCGAAAAAGTTCGAAGAACACGTTAAACTGAGTTTTTACTCGAATTTGCTTTCATAATACGAACACATTCGAACTATCGAACTTTGAAAAAATGAGAGTCTTTGAAAAAAGGTCTTCACTTTTTCGGAATTTTTCTTCTCTAAATTTGTAGAAGGGTAATTTTAAATACACCTAGTAGTTCATCTAACCGTTGGACTCCTGTCACAAGTTGTTTGGTTCAAGATAAATTTAAATTATACAAATTATTCCGAAAAAAATGAATATCGAATTTCATTCTAATGGTACATTTTTCTTAAATAAATTTTCCACTCAGGTTTACTGTAGTTCACATGTACCAAAAAGTGGGCCAGGACACTTTGATCAGACGTCTGTTGGTATTCGTCAAGCATTGAATGCACCGAAGTCAAATAAACCAGTAAATGAACAGATTCGGGGCGGATCAAGAGACATTGACTGTAAGAGCATTTTTTTCATATTTCAAGTTTATTTAAAAAAGTATATAAAATAAAATAACAAAGCATTCGAATGCTTGATTCACATTGAAAGAAAAAGCAGTAATTTTGTGCGTTTGTAATACAGAAAAATAAGTGAAAATCGAAAATGAAATTAAAAAAGCGTTTGAAGGGAAAAAGCGAAAATCATCGGTCGATCGAAAATGATGACAAAAAAAAAACCTAACTCATTGGATCGATCGGCTCCTTACTTTGAGTAACAGTAAAACAAACTTTCTCGTTCATTGTAAAGAAAACATTGATTGATTTGATGTGTAAATCGGTTCGGTCAATATAGTCTCACGAATAACCGACTTGCAAACAAAGGAGATTAACAATTGTAAATCATGTTCAAATCAATGGTCATGCTGCTCAGTGTTGCTGCTCTTTTTTTTTCTTCTTCAACAAAATGCGAAAGAAGTAGATATTTCTTTGGTGTTTGCCGAGATTTTGTCATGCATAAAATCTAATCAAATCCAAATAAAGGCTATAATTATGTGCGCTGGGTGTAATTGTGGAGCAACGAAAATAAAATGAAATAATAACAATAATAATAACAACAGAGAACAGCAAAGCATAGCAAGAAATAGCGAATTTACGAATGAGATAGAGAGAATATGGCGAGAAGTTTATTTATCGATTGTCTCATGTATAGTTCTTCCTTTGAATTGATTTGCTGCACACTGCGTCCCTATTAATGCTAAAAATTGGCCACGATTTATATTCGTCATTCACTCTATTTGCTGTTCGTTTGCAATCAAATGAAGCACACGCATGGTGAGTCGAGCACACGTTCAACGCTCACCGATACATTCCATTTGATTCGCTCAAGCAGTGTGGCATATTCACAATTAATGTGAACGATTGCACGCTCGCGCACTTTCATTCGATCCATCTGTATGTATCATTATAAATAATTTGCATATAAAAGGAGATTATCGCATTGAAAATTTTCTTCTACTTTTGGTCGACAACAACAGAAAAAACACAATTCACAAAACTACCCAGCAATAAATGCATAGTTTCTATATTTCTGCTTATCTTTTTCATTTTTAACGTATGGCATAGTCACATATAGTTAATCAAACGGTTTGTTTTAATTTTCTCTCTCTCTCTCTCTATCTCTCTTTATATTTCAAATGAAGAAGAGAGAAATTTGCGCGCACGCAATTTTCCAATTCGTATTTGCCCATGACCACTTGCATGGTGCGCGGATTCATTCATAATTTTCATTTATATGCATCCAATTATACAAATCAATGTTGTTGTTGTTTTTTCACATTGTTATTGTTCGAATTTGTATTCATGCTACTTTTCGCGCGTTCAACATTACCAACGCAGCACACCCACTCCATGTTCAATTGATAAATTATTGATTATCTCGTTGTGCATTCGTATCGTTCTTCTCTTCTTCTTTAATTTTGCGGTTTTGTTACATTGTCCGATTTCTAGATGCGCTATGTAATTTTCTTCGAATCGATAAAGTGTTCAAATCGAATGGAATCAAGCGCGCGCGCATACACACTGACTTTGTGTGTAAATCTATATGTGGCACACAATAAAATTTACATTGGTATTTTATGTTTTTAATAGACATATCGACGCTGAATTTGAAATGTGAAAATTTAGTGATTTGAAAAAAAAAAAAAAAACAAATATCATATGAATGAAGAAAAAAACAAGAGAGTATCTGTGTTCAACAGATGAACAGAAAAAAAACAACAACAAAATGTTTAATGAATTTCAAAGAATGATCAAAGAGCGGAAAAACTCGGTGAAATCTAATTCCTCGATTGGACAAAATGGCGCGATGAGAGCGCGCGCCAGCATACAGCCATGAAAAACCATAACAAAGCTCCATTGGCTCTAATCAGAAAGTAATCCAATCTACATGAAAACAGAAAAGAAATTTTTTGATTCAATTAATTGAAAATGTTTATGTTTACACATCCATTAAAATGTAATTTTTGTTATGCCGTCGTTGCTTCTGCCCTTATTTGATCATTTCTCAATTCTTTCTGTTTTTTTTCGTACACGTGTGTGGGGCGAATAAATTAAATCGATTTGTTATGAAAATCCCAACGAAAATTACTTCATGGGGGCGCTTTGGCCATCGCACAATATTTGTTGCGTTTCTTGTTTCACTTTTTATCTTTCTATCTACCTTTTTGTACATGCAATGCCATAAAACTGCAGAAAATTTCTCAAAATTATGCCAAAACATTATGACCATGTAATTAATGCATTCAATTAAGAATCGACTTAAGCAATTTTTTGTTGTTGCTATTGATGAAAACCAAAAGTTCCTGTATGATAAAGAAATCATTGTTTTTAATTATTCAGTGTGTAGTAGAGCGCCCGGATTGATTTTGCTTTTTTCTTTCTTATCTCTTGTTACGTTTTTTTTTAATTTCAAATGTGTCGGTATTTTCGTTGAATTTAATTACAATTGCCGGTTTTCGATTTGATACAGTTTTATCCGTGCACGTATACGAAAATGCCTCACTTAAAAAAAAGAAAATCATTTTGTGCGTTGAAACATTGTATTCTCACTTTGGTGGTGATTAATTCAGCTGTAAAACATATTGACAATTTGATATAAAGAAAATGAGTTAAAGCACAAACATACGGTTAAATTAGTAACGTTTTTTAGTAATCTCGGCGCGAATGCAATCGAGCGATATTTTTGTTGGTCGCTTTTATTCAACTTTCATTCAAATTAAAATGATTGAATGTACATTGTAAAAGTGAATGTAAAAATGGACAAATATTTTTGTTTTATATTGGAAAAAGCTCTTTTAATTTCTTTCATTTGAATGTTTTGTTATTAAGTTGGCTCTTTGCCTCTTTCAACACTCGAATGTTAAACTTTTTTAAATGTATGTTTTTTTTTTTTAAATTTATTTCCCCATTTCATTTTTAATCTCATCAACGCCAACAGTGCAACGTCAAATCACACCAAATGGCTATCATAACAATAGGGATATTAGTTCACCATCACATAATGACAGTGATTACAAATATGGTCGTTTCGATGCTAGCGCCTTACACATTGCCCATGCACTTAAACAGACCGAAATCCAAAAGGCATACAATAAACGGCGCGAAAAGCCCATCGATTATTACCTGGTAAGTAACGTTTAGATCTAGTCACTTATTTAATCGAATTTATTAGTGTAGCAGTGGTTAGGGAATGAGAGAAGGAAACGAAATATTTGTGTGGGTTCATTAATTAAATTGCGTGAATGAAAATGACAACCTCCACAAATGTCTATATTTGTAAGATACAAATGTAAACGCGCCAATATTTAAATGTCTGCATAGAATTAAAATGATATGTTCTCGAGATGGAATGTGTGAGAGGCACCACACTCTGTGCAAACAAACAATTGATCTTCTTTTCTTTTATTTTCCCATTTGATGATGAACATAAATTCAGTTCCATAAATTAAGACTATACAGAGAGAGAGAGAGAGAGAGAGAGAGAGAGAGAGAGAGAGAGAGAGA